TAAAAGTTCCGTCTCTATGAAGGCACAGTTGCAGCTGGGAAAAGTGTAGCAGAAAGGAAGCCTTAAACACATCACGCCTGCTGCACTGTGGCTTAGCTACAGTAATACTGAATGCAGACGAGTTTTGTGCGTAGGCTGAGTAATGTTACACGACGCTATAATATTAAATTCAGGAAAATGCAGCTGGAGGAGATCAGTTTTAGCTGCGCAGCTTTCGGATAAATCTGTGGAGGAAATCAGGTCTAAAGAGATAAACATGCCAGCCTGACAGAGCTGGTTGGTAAAGGTTAAAAGAGCTGCATGCATGAACTAACTTGAGCTGCATGCACACTGCATGGAGCAGAGAGTTGGCTTTGTCTCCATGGGAAACTCACAGGTGTTGGTCGAAACATTAGCAATAGCTCTGCAGTGAATTAGCATGAAGAGTCTTGAACCTGGAACATTTAAATAGAATTAAGCTGATATCCTTTTTTTAGTTTGAAAAGTTGGTTTAGTTTAGTTTTCCCGACATTGGTTACCATTGTGATCTGTATTATTTTATCTATGCCTTTACAGTCACCGGGGTTCTTTGCCCAAGGATTAAGCCATTGGCTTTCCAATTGGCAGACAACCTGCTGAGGCCAATCAATGTTCAGCCAATAGTAATGGCAAACGTTTTGACTTCTGCTAGCAGGGAAGGTGCAGGAAATACAAATTTTATTACAAATTTCAGTTATACTATGATCGTAATAGGGACGAGAGGCTGAGGCACGACTACAATGACTGTGAGCATGTGCAATGAACTCTTTTAAGCAACTTTGATGCGTCGAGATAGCGATAAAACAGCAGCCTACCAACCTGCTTTCAGTCCACTATCAGTTAGTGCACAGTGTTAGTGCATCAGTCAGTGATTTCATGGGGTTAATATAGGTTTTTTTTTTTGTATTAATACAGCAAATATCAAATTGGCATAAATCCAAAATCTACACAGGTCCAAATAAACTCTCACAGATTTGAAACATAATTTTTTTCACCAACAGTGATGTTGTTGCTGCAGGTTGGCAAAGCAAAATGACATAAATCCTCGTCAATCTACAACAACAAACAAGTCGCACTCATCCATTCAGACTGACTCAGGCTGATTGTTTATAAATTAGATGGTAGTTATTTTCTAACCTTTGCTAGTCTGTCTGAGAGTGATTGCAGCCAGTCTGAGTTGGACCATTATTGCTTGGAGACAGGTTGCCTCCCACCAGGTGACCTGTGGCGTCACTTTTATATCAAAGTTGCCCAGATGTTGAGGGTGTTGCACACTCAACCTCTGGGTGAATATTTCATTGTTGTAGCTACTTGCAATCAGTTGCATTAAAAAAAAAGAAATATATAGAAATCGATCAGTCTGTCAGTGTAATCACCAGTTGCCAAATCATTTCTACTGTGACTGAGCCTTTACATGAAGAAAAAGGTCTACTATGTGACAGATCCTCACACATCACCTCTTCCTATCAAAATAGTTTTAAAACACTTTGCATTGGCTTCCTATATCATCTATATTCTGGACGGATCACAGATTGTAAGAAGGGAGCTAACAAGGAAGTAAAGCATTTGCTTCTAGTACTATGAAGCAGTTTTTCTGTGAATGGCTTTCTGTTTAGCTTGGCTCTTGGCGTGCACTGCAGAATGCAAATGAGCATGCAGACTACAAAATGCACAGAAAACACTTCAACTGCTGGAAATCCAGTACACATCATAGTGATGTACTCGAGGATTTGAATGTGCACTAGGTAGGAAACATGAAACCAGAGCATCAAAGGAAATCTGATTAGCGGAGCTTTACGACAAAAAGACCCACGCTGGTGTTCGGGGTGCCGTTAAGTCTGTGTAATCGACACGTGTAGAAAATATGTTGTGTTGCACAAGTGAGCAGCTCTGACCTTTTATCTATCCAGTGGCAACATCCTATTAATCATCTAAAGCACATAGTTACAGGGTGACCTCAAATCACAGTCCTGGGTGGTTTAATTGCGAAGCAGCCTCATAAATAAAGAAAAGCTGAAAGAAGTGAACGGTGGGTGTTTATGGAGAGAACAAGGACGACGGGACAAGTGTCAGGACACCGCTTTCACTACAACTTTAATTAAAGCTCAAAATTGGGTTTTTGAAATGAATATGTTTACTTTTAGCCTTGGTAGGTTTTTTGTGCCTGTATAATCACCAGTTTTGCAACTAAATGCAATTGTTCATTTTTGGCGTAATGCTAGGTGATCTCAGAGTGCAGATCATGTCCACTGCTATGACTTCCATCAGAGATTGGCAGACTTCCTGCAGAAGAGCAGCAGTTTAAAAAAAAAAGAAAGGGCAGAGGCTACCAACGAACCTTGAAATAGAAATATCGCGTAACAACGAGTCAAAGCAAGCTAGACAGCATAAACAAATAGAAGTATAGAAAGGCATCGATCAGTGAGTTCAAAAGCCTGCCGAGTAAATGCAAAGTGTTAAAGTGACTACGTGGGCTTAAAGGCAGCTGAGTAAACAGAGTCCTTATCATGGCTAACACATCGCAAAGAAACACACTTGTTCATATGTTAGCTGTCTGTTGGACATGACTGAGATCACAGCCATCAAACCAAGCAGAAATGCTCGTGTATGTAACAGGACAGATTAAAGACTGACAATGTTCACGAACAGGAAAGTGTTCGGTGGACTCAAATCCAGCTGGCATCGGAGGGAAAGATGCTAAAATACAGTCTCTTTGTGTTCCACTTGTGAAAATCCAGCAGCTCCTGTATTTTCAGTAACGCAACCTCCTCGCAAGAGTTGCATCATAAATTCAAGAACTGAGTTCAGGTGTTAGAAATGCTTTTACAAAGTCTCTCACGTGAAAGTAAAGTGACACCGTACAAGACAAGCAAAGAATTCATTGTTCGCTTCCTGTTTAAATTGGTGTGGGGGTGTTTAAAGCCTTGTTAAGACCGTATTGCCGGCCCCGCTGTGAAACATTGAGATGTCTCGCACCCACACGAGAAAGGCGAGCGAAGAGGGGATTTTAGAAATATAATCATATACGTCTGGAAAAGCTTTAAGGTCTGAATCGTGTTGCTTTTGGTAAAACAGCTTGTCCCTTTTTGTCGGGAACAATGCTCGCAGCCGTGTTATAACAGAGGAGATTGTGTGAATAAATGCTGGTTGGTTTGTTCTTTATTTAAATCCAAGTAAAGCCACCAGCCAGCTAAATATATTCACACATAGATCCTCTCCATGAGCCCTGCAAGCCTCCCAAAGCCAAAGATCTGAGGAGGTTTGTTGTTCTAGCCTGCAGCTCCACATCGATCTATCAGAAACTTCACTGGTCCAGTTAATCACCTTATTCCTAGAGAGAGAGAGAGAGTGGGGGGGGAAAACAACAACAAGCCGGAGGGAAGAAAAGGTCCTGTTTTTGTTTGAGTAATTCATTTTAATTGTTGGGTTACAGTGCTTGAAGAAAAATTAATGGCTGATATTTGCAGGAATTGAGTTTACTGTTTTTGCTTTGTCGCTCTAATTGATGTAGCCATGCGCAAAAATGACTGGGAGGCGTCAGAGGGAGGAAGAGAGGACGGGGGAGAAGGTGGAGGTTAGGAAAAGGCTTCACTGACACGCTTAATCACCCCCCACCCCAACCCCCCCTCCCCCTTGTTCTTTTTGCTGAAAGGAGGAAAAGTATGAATAGAAATAAAGCAGAAGCTCGGAGTGAAGAGAGAGGGCAGGGAGGAAGCGCGGAGGAGGGGGCGTAAAGGAAGAAAGTCGACTTTACTGTCATTAGAATGACAGTAAAGTCGACTTATAGAGGAGAGCTGATCGAGGGAAGGTGAGGCTAAGAAAGTGAAAAGATAGTTTGTGTTTTCTGGAAAATAATTAAGAAAAGCAACACACACACATGGTTACACTGTCGTTCAGGACAGAGGGGTCGTATCACGAACTCATCTACACTGAGTGCAGCAGCTGGAAAGGACGACTGTAATCTCAACTTTTCTCAAACTAGAATTTCAAATTTAATCTTAAAATACTCTGTCATACATTTGACCTTTGACCTCTGAACAATAATGCTCTATGTCGCTATTTAAAAGCATCGAATAGCATCGCCGTTGTTTGTATTGAAAACGTACAGACCAATAGGAAACAACATAGGGAGAGTCTTTGTTGTGTATGTTACAGGTTCTAATCATTCCCGACTAACTTTTTGTTGGAAAATCAAATAAACTTGTGATCAACAACTTTTTTCCCTGTTTATTATTAAATGTTTAAACAAATTTTTACTAAACTATGAAAAAGCTATGCAGTTAAAATATGCAACATATGTTTTATATCTACAAAAATAATCCTGTGCCTAGCCAGCACGCTCTCTGAGCAACATTTACTTTTAAGGGAATGGTAAGACATCTGTAGTGCAGTACAACACGTGCATTTAAAGTATTTAAAAAGAACAAAGAAAGCGAAACAAAATAAGATACCATTGCCTTAAAAGTAAATGCTGCCCTGAGAGCGAGCTGGGCTGTGTCGTATTTTTTTGTGGGTTTTTTGTGCTCAATAAATGTAACGAATATTACCACACTGTTTCTGATGTTTGTTAAAAGATGTTTTAGAGATGCATAGTTACACAGACTGTGACGATTTGGGTTGATTTTATTTCTCTTTTTTGACACAGTGTCTAGTATCATTCAATCCAACCAAATGAGCGCATTGATCAATTTATCAGCGCTGTCTGGAATTGATTTGAATCGAACCATTAGGTGATCGATAGAGGCACGTCGCTCCTCGCTCGTCCTTGTGGAATAACTGCATCCGTCACACTCGGGAGTTTTAAAAAATGAACAAGCTTTCATTTGTTTCTTAATAAGAACATTAATCAGACGGCGAGTAAAGTCAGTGACGTTTATCACACGTCGTATTGTGTTCTCACCATCATCACTGTCTCAATAGTTAAACATAATCTATGAACATGACTTCTGATTTTTTCTTTTTGTTGTTTCTTTTTGCGACAGGTGTCCGACAAGCCTAAAGCCAGAGCCGCAGCCCTGAGGTAAGACAAATAACCAAACGCTGCACTCTGCAGCCTCGTTTTTATCCTCACAGAAAATAGCACTCACAATAGAGCTGGCGTGCAAGCTGCTCTTCCACCGAGAGCAACCTGGGCTAAGTAAGACCGCAGTCAGATGTCGTGTATTACTTGTTGTTTTGGCAGAGAGAAATAAGGCAGATCCACATATGGCCTGCATTAAGTCAAGTAGCCGGGGCATCATGCTTCTATATGGTGTGGCAGCCAGCGAGTCTTTGGCTGAGGGTGTGAGGTTAATGGAGTGTGTGACTTTCAATATCAGCCAAACAACAAGCTATAAATAACTGTTCTTGCCCTGAAACAGGCAATTGAGGTAGCTGTGGTCAGTGTTTCTCTTTCTGTACTTGTTTTTGAAAGCACGGTTTAGGAGTGCAGAGCCGGCTCACACAACCCTCAGCGTCTAACACGTCTCGCTTCAGTAAATATCCAACGTTTTAGCGGGACGTTGTTTGATTTTTAGGGGTTTTTTGCTATATGAAGTTAATCGCAAATGCAGCCGCTATTAAGTCTTCTGCAGGTGTTGCGCCTCTAATTCACCGAAACATCTGCGGCGACAGGTGTCCGTTTGATAAGGAGAGTCAGCGGCCTGCACGCTTCAGCTCTAACATTCAGATTTAGGCAGCAGACTCGCTATTTGTATCGCAGGGAGACTTTGCAGGGGCTCTGCGTGTAGACTGTGGCTCTGAGGAGGAAACATAAAACCCTGCGTACATGCATGCATGCGTTATGTTTGAAGGTCAGCGAGTAACATTTCCTCAGGCTCTTTTTTAATAAATGTGGTCTCGTTACAGCTTAACACACATTTAACATTTAGATGCTTCTGTTGTTCGTACGAGTGTAGGGCACCTTGTTATCGATGCTTTTTGAGTTTCCAGCGTTTCCTTTTTTGTTTATTATCCTGGGTTATGGGATGTAATGCATTGTGCATTAGCGTAATCTTATTTCTGCCAGTTGTTACTGTAGATCAAGCATCAGTAATAATCGTCCTGCGGTATGTTGTAGTAAATGAACAGCTTATTCTTGATTCAGCTGGTTAAGTGGCACATGTACAAATGATTTAAGACCTGCATAATTAATGAACACGTTGTTCCTGATTTGTTTTCTTTTCAGTTCATTATTTTTTTCCCACCACATTGTTAATCATTACTCTGCAGCGAGGGACCTCCCAGCCTCAGCAGCTCTTGTCCTAAGGTTGTCATCCACTGGGGGTCGGGGTCTGGAGCATATCCCAGCAGTCTTAGGGTGAGAAGCTGGGGTCACTCTGGACAGGTTTTCTAGTCAAACAGGCAAACATTCACAATCACGGCCAATTTAGAATAGCTAGTTAACCGAACATGGATGTCTTTGGACTGTGGGAGGAAAAGAGTCTTCTGTTGTGAGCTGAAAGAGCTAACCACTGCACCGCTGTGGCTCCGTTACCTCTGAGTGTATCAGAATTTGGATACTTTCCTCCCATATAATAGGTTGTTAGTATCACAGTCACACCATGGAAAACTGTGGTTGTATGATCAAATTATTGTGGCCATGTGCAATGTACTCGTGATCTTCTTGCATCTTGTAATGGTGGCTTTGAAGACCAGGTCTGCACTAGTCCACTGTTATCAGATTGACACTGGATGGGGTTAAATTAACAATTACATGCGACCTGTGTCTGTTAATTTGGTGATTAGCTGTAAGAAATTGGTAAAAATGTCAAATCTGTATGCATAAATTCACATTAAAGAGAAACTCAGCTGGTTACATTCAGTTTCCAACCAGCCTCGTAGATTTGAAACAGAAACTCCTCCATAAATAGTGACATAGTTGCTGCAGGATGGCAGTTTAACTGCAGAGTGACACGGCTGCTTCATATACAAATATAACCAAAGTACTACGAGTCGGCAACCAGCTGAGTTGTATCGCTTACTGCGAAAAGACACCGTAGACAAGTTGCATTTATTGCATTCATAGTGCAACAAACTGGGATAGCATTTATAAATGAGACAGAAATGATTAGCAAATCTTTGCCAGTCTGTCTGAGAATGATGAGTCCATTTCAGTCGAAACAGGTCGCCTCTCGCCACCTGTGTACTGGACTAACCGTCTAAAGTTCTCACCCACAGACTGAGGCTAGGGGGTTGCATGTTCAGGGCAGCCATGAATTTTTCCAAGATGCACCGATGTTCCTGTACTGTTTTTACCCCAGTGTGACTGAGCAATTATGGAAGCAGTTGATTATAAAACATAGTTTTATTATAACAGCTGCAACCATCTATGGCTTGTATAATAACGGGAGCAAAGGAGAAGGTGAGAGATGATGCTGCCGAGCGATGCTCCACCATGGCAGGATGTTGGGGTGGATGGATGGGTCCAAAAACAATCTCTTGAAGACTGTCAGCGTTTTCAGTTTCCATTTCCGTTTTCACAGTTGAAGCCGTTTATTGGCCAGCAGTCATAAAGAGCATTGTGATATCAGAAGTACAGGTTTAGGGCTGATTAAACAAATGTTTTAGTCGCCGATGATGAGTCTAGCTTTCTCCAGAGGACTGCATATTTGTTGGTGTTGTTTTTTTTTTGTAATAATTAATGAATTCATTATTTTTTTGTAGTCTGTCATGTCTGGCAGCTTTTGCAATCAGAATTATGATCTGCACTGTTGTGCCAAACATATTTGCTTTTCCAAGACAAGCTCGGTAAGATCACCTGGTTCATCTTTTTTAATGTCTTTAATTGTGCTTCTCTTGTTGCCACTAATTGCATTCTTCACTAAACATACAGGGAGTGCAGAATTATTAGGCAAGTTGTATTTTTGAGGAATAATTTTATTATTGAACAACAACCATGTTCTCAATGAACCCAAAAAACTCATTA